TTACTATTTAATTAAATGTTCTCAAATTCCTAAAAATATTTCCAATTTTTCATTTTGAATATGTAGACTTTCTAAGTTATAAGCATTTTTATTTGGGCGACTTTATAATGATAAATATTAGGCCTAATAATAATGGTTCATCAATTTTTTTTCTAAGAAAGACAACCTCACCTGTTAGTTGATAAAACGTACATCCTGGTTTGATTTATTTCTATTAATAGATTCGTTGACGTTTCACGATATCGAAAGAAGAAAACTTGGGATTGTGTAGACGTGACAACGCGGAAAGTCTTCTAACAACAGCCCCACGTTTAAATATTAATTAAAATGTCAGGTGTAGTAGAGGTAGGTAGAGTTCTAGATCTAGATCTATATTTTATTTAGGCCCTAGATCTAGATCTAGATCTAGATCTATAATAAAATAATTAATATTAATATACATTTAAAAATGATTTAGGCCTACTCTTCAGTTTTTTAAGTTTTATTTCTATTTTCTTTTGGTTAGGCCTAATTATTAATTAAAAAAATTATTAATTATTACTATAGTATAGTAAAAGGCCTAATAAAATTAATATAATAACAATTAAATAAAACCTTGGGTGATCTATCGTAATCGTTTTAGGTACGTTATCTAGATCGAAAATCGTCCGAGACTAGTGATGTGAAAAAAAGGTGACTCATTAAATTTTAGTCATTATTTCACATTATTTAGTAGGATTTATGTTTTGAAAGTTACAAAAATATTTCGAAGTTTCATTAATGACTATTTTTAAACAATATATTATGGTATTAAAACTTTTCAGTAAAAAATAAAGACTAGCGATGTTTTCATCAGATGCAGCCAAGCTCATTTACTTTTTTAGCAGCCAACTTGTTTAAGTTTTTTTTTTGTAAAATTATCATTAGAGGTTCAGGGGAAACCACTCTAAGTTACAGATGGCCGTTGTTTATATATTATAGCAAATGTTGCCAGAGGCGTAGCGAGGGCGGGGGTGCGGACTGCACTGGGTGACACCATTTTAAGGGGGTGACACCAATTCAAAAAATTGCAAAATGTACAGAAGAAAAAGCCTTTTTGCCAGTTCCATTAATGATTAATTAAACTTAAATAATCTGTTAAGTGTATGTTTGTATATATATATATATATATATATATATATATATATATATATCATGAAGTGCGTCACTGGGTGACACCCAGCTTAGTGACGCCAATGAATGTTGCTAAAAGTAGAGATAATTAATTGGTGATGAAAACATGTCCTTGTATTGACCAATATATTTTTAGCATACCTCTGTAAATCATGTACTAAGAATAAAGATAATTGAACTATAAACACAGGACATCTGTTCACATAATATCAGTTGAAAGCTAACATACATATTCAGAGCCGGCGTTAGGGGGTGGCAAATGGGGCGGTCGCCCTAGGCCCCGCGCTTGAAGGGGCCCCCGCGCTTCAGCAACGCCATTGTTGCCTGAATTAGTTTGTAAACTTAAATAATCTTTGCTGAATTAAATTTAAAAAAAAAAAAACAACTAAATGGCCGAAATTGTTGGATGTTAAAACTGAGGCCACGGCTGATGTTAGTGAGTTATGGACTGGGACAGACCGTTATTCTAAAGAAAGACATTAGTGTCACACATCGCTGACACGGTCGACTCGCTATTGTCCTGAGGTGACTGGAGCAGTGTTTCTTCCAGACATTTTTCTCTGGGGGGGCACTTGAAATCTTCGGGGGGGGGGGGGGGGCGGTAAACTTTCTTCGGGGGGGCGGACACTGTTAAAAGTATATATTTTCTATATAAATTATATAAATTTCATTTCGATCGGGGGGGGGGGGGGTAAAAAAATTTTCGGGGGGGGGGGGGGGGGCGAAGAGATGCCTGGAAGAAACTCTGGACTGGAGATGGCGGTCGCGAATTAGCCCCCCGACCTGACATGGGAAGTAAAATCGGGAAAAACGTAAAAAGATACCCTATTGTTTGCGGACCGTTGAAGACGTTTTTTTTAGTGAGCAGGCGGGGGTGCCTGTAGTAAACAGTCAGTGACCTGATGATGGCTTGCAGAGGAGGAGGGGGGGGGGGGAGCGGATGGGGACATGCCCCGGAAATCCAGAGTATTTATCCCTAAAATCATAATTTATACACTGTATGGGCATCTTTTGTGTAACATCTTTTATGCATATTCACCACGATACGTTTGATAGGCATCCATACAGTAATTATGTTCATATTTATTTTATATATTGTCACGTCATCTTTAAATACATTATACTTGTATTTATTTTTATATTTTTGAAGGGCATTTATACAGTAATTATGTCCATTTTCATTTTAGTAAACTTTAACGGTATTCGTAAAGTGATTAAGCACATGTTTATTTTAATTAATTGTAGGGACAGTGGCGTAGCGAGGTCGGGTGTCACCCGGTGCGGCACTTAATGGTGTCACCCCCCCCCCCCTTCCCGAGGCGTAGCGACCCTTCCCGGAAAAAAAAATTCAAATTTTCGATTTGCAACCCCCCTCCTCAAACTTTTGATTTGCCCCCCCCCCCCCCCTTAAGTTTTTCTCTATATATTTTGCTATTTTTTGCCTTGGTGTCACCCCTCTAAAAGGTGTCACCCGGTGCGATCCGCAACCCCCCCCCCCCCCCGCTACGCCTCTGTGTAGGGATGTTCAGTATAATAGTTAAGGACATAAGATTCTTGTTTTAAAATAGTGTAGGCACACTAAACAAATTATAAAGTCTATACTGTTTGATACATCGGGCCGAGACTGTTTTATGGTAAAGTTCTCCTGATTTCTAAAACGTCTAAATTACCAGCAGTTCGAGCATGCCATCGAGAAACTCATAAATAACATGAAGCTGGTTGTCACATAGTTCACTTTCTAATTATAGACACGGACCTTCTCTTGTGAGAACGCGGTCTTAACCTGTAATGTAATACGTGGACGCTCTATACACACGCACCTTCTCTTGAATGGCTGCGGTCAGAGATCCAGTAACGTAGTACCCCAACTGATTTTTTTAGGGTTTGGCATCCCATAGATTTAAATGTACAGTTATCCTTCACGGGCTTCACCTCACCCCACCAACTGTCACCCCCCCCCCCCCCCCCAGTGTTCCACCTTACTGAGCGTCCGTGATTACATTTGAGAGTCATTTCCTTTGGATATCTATAGCCGTAATTCACGATTCGAGCTTATTCCGAAATCTATCAATGTTTTGCTATTTTCCCCGGCATCCACACACTTTGAATGCCCCTGTTAACACTCGATAAATTGAGAAAATATCGATACTATCACCCGCCACTGTGGACCGATTTAACGTTGCTTCAAAGTGCCGGAAGGTATTAAGTCAGCCAAACAGTGCCTTTAGTACATTTGTAGTATTCGGGATTCCCTTCCCAACACGGCGATCGCCTACAGAATCTTGCTAACAGTTCCAGTCACGAAAGGCAAGAAAAGTAGACTTTCGTTTGTGAACGTACTGGTAAGATTTTCATAAATAAACATTAATGTAAAAAAGTCAGGTTTGAAGCTGACGTTCATCGTCTCTTTAATGCGTGTATCAAACTTATATCTGTTTTATTTTTTACTTTTCAAACAAAAAGCCTTAACAGAAACAAGCAACGTTTCAAAAGCACTTCTAAGTAAACAAAGTTTTTGTTAATCAGTGTCTTAATGTTAATACGACATTGATAAACAGCTTAAAAATACCATATATATCGTTATAAATATTAATTCGCGTTGAGAAGAAAAAAAAAAAACGCCTCACTGTACATGTTTTATTTATACACCAATGAAAAAAATATAAGGCCCCGCGCGGACGGTTGGCCATAGGCCCCGCGTACCCCTAACGCCGGCTCTGTACATATTTAAAAATTCCACATTGAAGACTTGTGTAATCTATATTATGAAGTTAAAAAAAAAATAGTGATTTAGGCCTAAATTTAGTTGTTTTCTAGTATTTTATCATCACTCATATTTTTAATAACATCAGAATGGATGTGATGAAACGTATATGTACGACTCTGCTATTTACAATAAACTGGATAAGACCAAGTTTAAAGCAGAGTATAAAAATGGAGTAACACCACTTAATCCTGGAGAAAACTTTATCATACGCCCTCTCTGTATAAGTGATTATGACAAAGGTAAATAGCTTTTACAATACTCTTTCATTCCAACCCAGTCTAATATTATGAAATGTATTTTCCTATTATGTTACATTCTAAATAATTCTTTGATTTTTAAAAATGTGTATATAGATCTAATATGTTTAATTTAAAAAATGTGGTAAAAAAAATAGTTATATGTAATCAGGAAATGTAAAAAAAAATGCTTTGTAGAAAGTTCCCTCCCCTGTTTTGTGTTTGAAAATGTAACTTGTATTTTCTCCATTACAGGCTATCTCAATTTGCTCAAAGAACTTACTATTGTTGGGGACCTGACCAAAGAACAGTTTATATGTAAGTTGTTGAGACACACAGTTGTTTACCATTAATTATTTTTTTCATTAAAATTGATTTATGTGTGATTTTTAACTGTAACTGTAATCATAGTAGGGTAATTTGGTGTGTAATTTAAAATCAAAATGTTCTAAAAAATAAGAATATTCAGATGCTGTTGACATAAAAAGATATTGGAAGCATAAAAGCTTAATTTGCGTATAGCTTTGTATGTAATAAATACCACCATTTTAATTTTTAAATCCATTTTTTCATAGCTCAGTTTAATCGGATGAAGTCTTGTGCCGACACGTATTATATTACTGTTATAGAGGATGTGGTCAAAGGTCAGATTATAGGAACAGCCACATTGGTGGTAGAAAGGAAATTTATACATCATGCTTCAGCTGTAAGTAGATGCACCCATAGATAGTAGTTTCAGCTCTATTTTGGAAGCACATATTGGCCATGAGATATTTTAAGGATTTGTTTTATTCAATAAGATGTTTGTTATAGTGAGAATATTATATAGGTACCATATTATTTTTGTCTCAACCTTCTGCCTGAGTGAAATTTTAGTTGCTTGACTTAGAATAATGAAATTGTTATTTTTTTCAAATAACTTGCTGATACTCCATAGATGAATGAATAAATTGCTTTTTTTGGTACAGAGAGCAAGAGTTGAAGATGTTGTTGTCAACAATGATTACAGAGGGCAGCAAATTGGTAAAATGTAAGTCATTTTTGTTTTTCACTACATTTGTTATACTATCTAGTTTATTTTAAAAATGTGAAACACAGTAAATTTTCTTGTTTTCACATTCAGATACACAATATTCACACATGACATCCATGCTACACTGCATTCAATTTCACACTAACACATTATAGTATAATGTACTGCATTGCCTTCACAATTTTAACCCTTGATAGTCAGAAAAACAGAACAGATGATTCAGCAAAACTGAGATCTGGTTTGTCACAAAACACAATACATGGTTTAAACTGAGAGAAAAAAAGTTTTTTAAAAGTAACTTTATATTTAAAAAAAACAACCTGAGCATTGCCGTGGTATATTTCAGCCTAGTGGACCTGCTGGTGTGTCTGAGTGAAATGCTGGGCTGCTACAAAGTTTCCCTGGAATGTAAGGATCACAATGTCAACTTCTACACACTATTTGGGTTTGAAAACCCTCCTGAGCAGAACTTTATGCAGATCAGGTTTTTTGAATGATTTATGTATGGTGATGTATTAGCTCTGAATCTCATTGACACTGATCTATAACTTGTGTCTTCATTATTTCTGAACAACTTTTAATCTGAAGTTAGAATCAAAGCTATTTATTGTTACATTGAACAAGCCATTGCAGCATATTGATTGATAAGTTTAGCATTCTATGTAAGTAAATAATTCCTTTCTCTCTCAGCCATGATGATATTGATTTCATGCTAAATTTATTTCTTACATTATAGTGTTTTGTAGCAAATATTTATTGTATGTGTAAACAAAGGTATCTAAAAATAAAAAAAGATCTGATGTCTTCTACCTCTTTTGATTTCTCTAAAATTCAATTTACCAAACAAGAAATCCATTTATTTGTGCATTTTGTATTGTAGAAAACATGGTTTTGTCTAAATTAAGTTTTTATCACACATTTTTGAACAAATAATTTTCCTGTTTTAAATAGTTAAAACCATTAAATTGGTTGTTTACCACAGCAGTTTTTTTAAAGCAATTGTTTTAAATATTATAATGTAAGAATATAGTTAGAAATAGTTGAATGAAATAAATGCCGTGAACTTTCATAGAGAGTTAGCCTTTCATTGTTAAACTAAATCTTGTTATATTTATATTGTGATATAAGTGTCATTGTTACGGAGTATTTAACCTGTTGTGTCTAGGGTCACAATAACAAAATGATTTTGTCAAGTGTTTATATCAATCTATGAATACCAAAATGTTTTTGTGTCAATATTAATCTATGAATACCAAAATGTTTTTGTGTCAATATCAATCTATGAATACCAAAATGTTTTTGTGTCAATATTAATCTATGAATACCAAAATGTTTTTGTGTCAATATTAATCTATGGTTCTTGGTGTGTAGCTTGGGAATCTCAATTCACTATTATTTTATTTCTTTATAAAGTCCTATTTATTGGTTATATTTTATAAATTTATTTGAATATAATTTTTGTCAAATATTTTAATGTGACATTTCTGGAGTGTAATCAATGTGAAAACTTTTGCTGTATATGAAGCTATTTTATAATTTTATTTGACTAAAATTAAGCTTTAAGTATACGTTTTTGTTTGTTTAGGTTTTATAGTATAGCTTAAATTGGTAAATTAAAAAAAAAAAGTCAAATAAATCATTCCAATAGATCTTAAAGTCAAATTATCATAAAAATATTTTCAGAAAAATCTCTTTGCTTGAAATTTTTATTTTTATTCCAGATATTCTTTGTTGAATTAATTAAACTTTTCACATAATTAAGTATTAAGCTTTATGTATTTTCTTATGAGTAAAAATTGAACTTTCCACATAATTAAGTATTAAGCTTAATGTATTTGCTTATGAGTAAAATGTAGCACTCCAAGAGTAAATTAATGTTACTAGCTGTGTAAACTTGGTTCTACCTTAATTTTAGGA